GTTGGATGATGAGGGACATTACACCACTTTTGGAGATGGACATTGGAAGGTAATGAAAGGTAATCTTGTTGTTGCTCGTGGAAAGAAGCAAGGATCTCTCTACATGATTGCGAGATGAGGATATGATATCGATTGCGGAAGTTGGCAACAATTCCTCCTTATGGCATCGGAGGCTTGGGCATATGAGTGAGAAAGGAATGAAGCTCATGATATCAAAAGGTAAAATACCTAACGTGAAGCATGTTGACGTTGGACCTTGCGAACATTGTATCTTTGGAAGCGAGAAAAAGGTTAGCTTCTCCAAAACAAGTAAGTCGTCTAAAGTTGAAAGACTAGAACTAGTGCATACGAGATGTTTGGGGGCCGGCTTCGGTGAAATCCCTTGGAGGTTCACAATATTATGTAACCTTGATTGATGACTCTACAAGAAAGGTATGGGTTTATTTTCTTAAAAATAAATCGATGTGTTTTCTGTGTTTAAAAGGTGGAAAAAGGAGGTTGAGACTCAAACAGGTTTAAAGGTCAAATGTTTGAAGTCTGATAATGGTGGAGAATATGACGGTAGTCAATTCAAGGAGTTTTGTTCGAGAGAATGGGATCAGAATGATCAAGACAGTTCCAGGAACACCAGAACAAAACGGTGTGGCGAAAGAATGAACGAGAACCTTGAATGAGAGAGCAAGATGTATGAGAATCCAGTCAGGATTACCCAAGGTATTTTGGGCGGATGCAATAAGCACAGCGGCCTATCTCATAAACGAGAGGACCATCAGTTCCTTTAGACTATAAGTTACACGAAGAAGTATGGTGCGGAAAGAGGTAAATCTTTCACATCCGAAAGTTTTTGGTTGTGCTTCATATGTTATGTTAGACTCTAATAGTAGAGATAAATTGGACCCTAAGGCAAAACGTTGTTATTTCATTGGTTATGGATCTGACATGTTTGGCTACGGGTTTTGGGATGACCAAAACAAGAAAATTATCAGAAGTAGAAATGTTACTTTTAATGAAAACATGTTCTATAGAGACGAGATTGCGAGAATCCGCAAATGTAAATAAACGACTAGAGCAAGTATCATTAGAAGAAATTTCAGAAAGTGATGTAGTCAACCGAAGGCGAGAATATACAAGTAGAGCCTATGTCGAGCACTGAGATAGAACCTGAACAAATAGTAGAGTCGGCAACTCCTGAAATCTTGGTTAGAAGATCTAGCGAGAACAATTGTAGCACCACAAAGGTATTCCCCTTCATTGCATTATTTGTTGTTGATCGATGCTTGGTGAGCAGAGCATTTTGTTGAGGCTATGCGGGGAGATGAATCTATTAAGTGGGAGCTAGCAATGGAAGATGAGATAAAGTCCCTTCAGAAGAATAAAACATGGTCTTTAACCAAGCTACCAGAAGGAAAGAAAGTTTTGCAAAACAGGTGGGTCTATAGGTTGAAAGAAGAACCGGATGGCGGCAAAAGATATAAGGCTAGACTCGTAGTGAAAGGGTTCCAACAAAGACAAGGAATTGACTTCACAGAAATTTTCTCTCCTGTTGTCAAGATGACTACCATCGAGTTATCTTGAGTATAGTAAGCTACGAGAAAATCTTCATTTGGAGCGGTTAGATGTCAAAGCTGCATTCTTACATGGGGATCTTGAAGAGGAAATTTTTATGACACAGCCAAAAGGTTTTGAAGTACAAGGCGGAGAAAATCTTGTATGCAAGCTTCATAAAAGTTTGTACGGATTAAAACAAGCGCCGAGACAATGGTACAAGAAGTTTAATGAGTTTATGAGAAACTCGAGATTTCGCAGATGTGAAGAAGATCACTGTTGTTATGTGAAGAAATATGTTGATAGCTATATCATTCTTGCCTTATATGTTGACGACATGTTGATTGTTGGAGCTAATATGGCAGAAATTGACAAGTTGAAGAAACAATTGTCGGAGAGCTTTGAAATGAAGGATCTTGGTCCAGCCAAGCAAATTCTTGGTATGAGAATCTCCCAGAGATAGAGATAAAGGTATTTTGAACTTATCTCAAGAAAAATATATAGAAAAATTGCTTAGCAGATTCAATGTTGGGAATGCTAAAACCAGGAATACACCTTTGGGAACTCACTTAAAGTTTTCAAAGAGGCAATCTTCTCAAACGAGAAGAAGAAGAAAGTCACATGTCTAAAGTGCCATATGCATCTACGAGTAGGAAGCTTGATGTATGCTATGGTTTGCACCGGACAGGACATAGCACATGCAGTGGGAGTTGTGAGCGAGATTTCTATCAAATCCGGAAAGGAGCATTGGGAAGGAGTGAAGTGGATATTCGAGATATTTGAAAGGCACTTCAAAGATGCATTTGTCTTTCAAGAGAAGTAATCTCATTTTACAGGGGTTTTCGATGCGAGACTTGGGAGGTGATCTTGACGGTAGAAAGAGCACAACAGGTTATATTTTTACATTGGGTGGTACAGCTATCGGTTGGAAGTCTAAACTTCAAGGAAGGGTCTCTCTCTCAACCACTGAAGCGAGTATGTAGCTATCTCAGAAGCGACAAAGGAGATGATATGGTTGAAGAACCTTCTAAAAGAATTAGGAAGAGAACAAGATGGTTCTCCGTTGTTTAGTGACGAGTCAAAGTGCTATTTGTCTTGCTAAAAATCCAATCCTTCATTCCGAGATGTAAGCACATTGAATTGAAGTATCATTTTATCGAAACCCGATAAATGATGGAGACTTGAGTTTGTTGAAGATTCCAGGTGCGAGAGAATCCCGTCGATATGTTGACCAAGACTGTTACAACAACTAAGTTGAGGCTTTGCATTGCCTCAAGCTGGCCTTCGAGCAAATTGATGATGAAGGCACTACACTAGGTGGTAACGTAAATCAAACTCCAAGTGGGAGAATTGTTAGTATTATGGTGCTTGATTTAGTCCCACATCGATTAGGATTGTGAGATGAGGTTCTCTATTTTGTTATATAAGCAACCCTATGTAAAGTTTGAGATACACACAGAAATAAAAATACTTCCTAGTGTAGTCGTGGACGTAGGCATACATATTTTAGCCGAACCACGTTAAAATTCTTGTGTCGTTTATTTTTCTCTCCTTCATTCTTTCCTTTATTATTGTCTTGTTCCTAACAGTGTCATCTCTTTACCAGCAGCTTGGGACAATTCAATTTTATTTCTGATATTTCCTTTGTAAATTACTATCAGGCCCAATAGCTATTCATGTAACTGATACCATCTAGTAAAATAAATAGATATGTGCAGAATGTCTTAAACTCGTTTTTAATTTCCTTGTTTATTTTTGAGTGTATCAGGTTTGAACAAGTAATCCAAGCTCCTTAGTCTGGATGCACTTGAAATTAATTATTTGAATTTGCTGAAAGTCTCAATTGGTCATTTTAGTGGAAATAAATAGTACATTATGTAAATTTACATCGCTAGTTATAAGTTCGCAGTAAATCCTTCGGCTGCTAAAGTGAATACATAATATAATTTTTATTTTATATGAATGTAACTATACGATAAAGGATAAGATATAAAATAATTATACATCAGTTGATATTAGAGTGACACCTACATTTTGTTCGGACATGAAAAATGCTACAAAATCAAGATAAATCTAACCAAAAAAATCAAAATTTTATAATTCATCAGCTAGCAAATCAATACAGAAATGAACCATAAACAATCAAATAATATTTTCTTGAGTAGTAAGTATCAAGAAAGATCCCTAGTTTACCTTCAATCATTCTTTCATCATTCGCCGATACTTGCCGTTTGTGGTAGCGAGACATAGGACTTTGCTTGTTCCATGGTGTACCACTTTTGCATGAATAAATCTTTTAGAAAAGAAACACATTTAATAAAATTGGTCTCACGTGCGTATCTGTCCTCTGCTCGCACGATTTCATGTTAGGTTTCTCTTGGTTTCACCACGAGATCTTTGGGCACAAGCAGCTCGAATGAAAGAATCCACGCATGTCATCATATGTTCCGATTTCATTATTGACAAGTGAGATGTAAAACTCACCCGTTTTCGTGTATTCTACCGTGTAAAAAAATAAGGTGGGATGGATTAATCCGTTACACGGAATACAAACTTCCGTGTGTGTATATATATATATATATATATATATATATATATATATATATATATATATATATATATATATATATATATATATATATATATATATATATATATATATATATATATATTATATATCTTAATTATATGAATAATTTTCTAATTTTCTATACTTAGAAATATTTTGTTATAAAAAAGGTTTAATGATTTATTTCATAACACCATTTTTTTTAAATTTTATTTTACTATTATTTTTAGTATTAATTTGATCTATTTGTTATAAAATGAGTTAATATATTTCATACATATGTAACATTAATATAGTTACCCGTGTGTATCATACAAGTTTGTCAAACTACAATAAACTATTCAATTACAGTTACGTAAACCGGAATATGGAGCTAATACAAAACACAGTCCGTGGCTAATACCAAAACAGTGCCCTAAACAATTACTGACACCGATAGAGACTTTAGGTCAAGACTTGCTGCTTAATAACAATTAGAGTTTTCAGACTAGATAGATTCAAAGGGAAGCTTCGCATGAGGCTCAAATTCATCTAAATCTGGAGCCCAAAAATTAGAATGCACAATAAATGTTCTAACCTGTTAAAAAAGTTCACATTAAAGGTCTAACTCAATTATTTCTTTTTTGCTGCAAAATCAGCTCAGTACAAGAGGCTTGAATGTACCCTTTTAACCAAGGTGTATGTTTCACGAAGCTATAACCGTATCCTCATCCAGACAAAGTCACTAGTTCGGCTGCAAGGTCTAGCAACCCACTAGTTTAACTATACAATAAAAATACCACTTATAAATATGTAGTCTAAAAGATTTCTGGTATTCAGCTTAGCCACAATGATTAATTAATTTCCAGAATGCAAGTATCGTGCAGCATTTGTTATGTCATGCTTTTCATATACCAAGGTCAAATGAAGGAGAACTAAAAATATCAAGGTTGGGTGAGTGAGATTGAGGGGGCGTATCTTGCTTCTGAATTGACAAATCTAATTTCCGTTTTAGAAGCAAAGTTGCTTGCTCCTCCAATTCGTCAAGATCAAGTTCATTATAAAACTGATCATCACATAAAACATCTGTGGTTGCATTGACATCCACCGCTTCTTTCTTTGATTGAAGTGAAAATTCTTGTTCAAGGTTCATATTTAGGAAGTGTTCAGAGTGGTAAAACGCTAATCTTCGTTTGCGACTTCTTATCTCTGACACATTTCCCATAGGAGAACAACTTGAAGGCACTGCTTCTGAGGTTTTCTGGTCGATGATAACAGATTCCGAAGTACGATGTGCTGACTGTTTGGTTGGCTCTGTATGGAAATTATTCACTGTCTTCGTTGAAGAATCCCCACTTTCACTAATACTGGCTGCCATGGTCACACTGTTAGGAGTGAAGGCGGCAGAAAAGTCACGCCCTCCATTACACGGTGCTTGACTGAGCAAAGAACGCCTGCAGCAGAGCTAATTCTAATTATATAGCTTGAACATTAAGTTAATAACAGCACTAAATAGTTGACAGTTTCAATGTGATATTTGTAGATTCACATATAATTGCAAAGGACTCTAACAAAGCTGATGTTCTCACGTTTAGATAAATAGTAAATGAGAAGAATGAAGCCCTAAATGTAACGAATTTTCTTTTTCTTTAAGATGAATGTAGCAGTTCATTTGCTACCCAATTTCTTTAATTGTGAAGATTGCTCTAGAAAAAAACCTACAAATAGGGAAGCGAAATGGGAGGAAAATAAAATACCTGTAAATCGCCATCATGTCCATTCTACTAGCTTCAGGCTGACTGGCTGCCGAAGGGTTGGTCCTGTCATCTATGAAACTGTCAAATGAATTGTCATCCTCGCCATCTTCATCATTAGATACATAGGCATCTGAAGATACCCTGACCAGATTGAACAGCTCGTGAGACTAGATATTTTGACTCAATGTCGTGATGTACAGAGTATAAGTCATTATTATATCTTTTGAATGAGCAATGAAAGATATGCCAACTATGGTATTGAATAGTGAGTCAAAAAATGCTGAAACAAGAGAATGCAGAATTCAGTGAATCTTCAGCAAAAGCTTACTCAGCTTCCTCGTCAATGAAGTTTCTCACATTGTGTGTTGATTTCCTTTTACCTAAAAGGTTTAAATGAAACAGCACAGCGTTATGTTTTCTCAAATACATCATTATAGAATAGATTTTTGTTAAGCATATTTCCAATTTAGTGTCAAAGTATTGAAAGGATTGTTTGTCATAGTGTGGTCTGCACACAAACAGGTATTCTTATTTATAATGAAGAGATACAATAGTACGGAATAAAATCAATACCTATTAGTGAAAATTATTTGATAAAATACTTACCTATTAAATCATATTATATCTCTGTATTTAATGTTATCAAATCATATATCTCACACAAAGAAACAAGATATTGTACAAAATACTTTCAATAAAGAAAGGGGCAAAAAATGCACTAAACAAACTAAAATTACCTTGGTCATGCTTATATTGTGAGGGATTGGAGGCGGAAGATGACTTGAGAATGTTTACTGTTGAAGCAAAAAGCCCATTGTTTTTCTGATTCATATTGCTTTCAGTATCTACAGATTTTCGCAACCTTTTAAATATGCGTGCAGGTTTAATGCCTTCAGACATTTCAGCACAATCTGCGGGAAGTGCTTCTTCACTGAGACTTGGGTCAGTGTTATGTGTATGGCCTTCCTCAGTTTGAGAAAGTAAGACTCGTCCTCTTCTAATTGCAAAATTCTTCAGCTCAAGTAAAGGTCCCTGAGTTTCATTGACAGATGAAGTACAGACATTCTTATCGGTGCCCCTATCAATGTTGACCATTTTAGTTTCCCTAGACCTTAAAGAACAAAAATCCTGTTCTTCGTTGACATTGGCAGGTAAGATATAGTCGTGTATGACAGAATGGTATCTTGATTTCCCTGAAATATTCAAATTATTTCAGAACACAATATTTAATCTCATTCACACAATTAACAAAGTAATTACTCTAAAATATTGTACACCGTCACTTTATCACCTTTTAGACACCCACCTCTTTCATCAATAGGAGACTCTGGAACAACACCACTTTTAATCAAATTAGTTAAACGTGGACTAAGTTCTTCATATTTCATGCCATTAATGCATGCATCTGCAACCAACGAAGAAATCTCAATCTCCATAGGATTTACCATTTGACCACCATTATCTCCTTCATTTGACACACTTCTCTTAGAAATTGGAGTCTCGGGAATTGTCTCATCACCCTCACATGTTTCTTCTTGATTCTTACCCAAATCACATAAAGTACCATCTTGCCAAGCTAGATTGACGAAGTCTTTGCTTTGAATCCCCAAATGACATGAATCCAGGTCCAGACAATTATCAGAGACTACATTCCTTCTCAGTGTATGTCTAGAGCATGATTCATTGTCTGCAGAGAACAGAAATAAAATGGATTTCCCATTAGCTACTATATTCACAAATTCAATATGCTAACAGATATTTAAAAATCTTCACAGAAGTTGAAAATGTGTTACTTCAGAAAAAGTACATTTATCATGAATACGCATCATGAAGTAAATAATTTTGAAAAGTAAAAGGTAAAAACTAAAATACAGAAACAACTCTTTTCAGCTGCAATGTTGACAATAGGAGTGCTTAGTGTTTGGCATTAGACTTTAGGAGAGAAAATTGAACAGATGATATTACCCTTTCTAGCTTTACCAAGTTGGGCAGTGATGACTGGCTTACTATGTCCCAAACACAGATCTTCCTGAACGACTCAAACAGACATATCATTTTACCAAAAAGGAAAAAAAAACAATCATACTATGACTACGGTCATATTGGATACAGTGTAGTACTGATCTATAAGAGGGGATGTAGAACCTGAAGTGAAGAAGCTTTGTCATCTTCAGGAAATGATGCTACTCCTTTCAAACGCTGCATCATGTCTATAAGCATCAACGTTCCAGATGAATGCTTCACTTTATGCACTCTAGAAGGAAAGGTCTGAAAATGGGGAAAGGCAATAAGAGACATTCTACAATTGTTTTCTCCAGTAGGGTGAAAATATGTTCTAAGTAAATCAATTTCAGCAACAGTGAGTTTGTCCTTTGATGGAGAACTGTGGAGCTCAATGTCCTTCACATTCTTTTGACGAGGAACAAATTTTTCAATGGACAGCTCAACATATTTAACCTCTGGTTTAAAGACATGAGGAATCTACAACAGTATTTAGTAACATTTAGAGGGCAAGGATAGAAAGCATAAATAAAAAAGAATAGAAGTTATCTGACAGTTTCTGACCATCCTCGGACTAGGATGAAAGGAAAAGCTATTTATGCCCCCATTACGCATGTGTTTACTTATAGTTTTGCTTTTTGCCTGTTTTCTCAAGTAGCCCTTCAACTCTGACCCTTCACAAGCAAAAACTAGTAATGATTGTTAAGGAACCGAAGAAACAAATACTTGTAGCTCTTTAGAAAACTGGTAATAGGAAATGCGAAGAATGTTCATTTCTTCTCAGCAGTAACAATAGCCAAGAAACAAATAAAACTGAAAATCAAAGGATATCAACTCGTCCATCGTGCTTTCTTCCAGTTCTCCCCATTCGCTGAATCATTCTAAGTGGTGAAATATTAGCATCAAAAGATATGACAAGATCAACTTCCATGATATCAAGACCTTCTTCACCAATCGATGTAGCAACAATGACATTATAGGTGCCAGACCTAAATTTCTGATGATCAACCATGTAAGCACATAAAAGAGAGTGAATCTTATACTAAACAGAATACATACCGTCAGCACAGCCTGTTGAACCTTTTGGGACTGACCTTTCATTGCTTTCCCTGTATATCATTAAAAGTGAAGATTTTTTTCACAAGCAAATTAATGATGAATGCCAAAAAAGAACAAAAGAAAAGAAGGAAGAAAACAAAAAAAAAATTATACATACTGGAGAATAAGACATTTCCTACAAATATATGCTCAGGAGGAAGAGTTGCAGATGTCAACAATGCTTAACAATGATTAAGATTTAAGAATTATTTGAGGCCAAAAACAGTAAAAATTATATCAAAAAGAGACTAGTTGTCTAGTAATATCTACTGTCAAATTAAAAGAAAGAAAAAGTCATGTAAAGCATTCTTCACTTTATCAAATATTCAAGTTAGTATCAGAGGGATTCAATCCACTGACTTATAATGACTTATAACTGTTTCTCAAGACATGTTGCTCATTTTGGTTGGAAGCTTAAAGTATATTTGTTAATGACATCCCACGATAGTATGACTCTTCTTAAAAGTTTGCCTTTCTTATCAAGATATGATATAATATATTGCTCAAGCTCATTCAGCTGTTGAAGAACTTACAATGTTCCTAGAGGCTAACTTGTTAGAATTGAAGAAAAAGAGTATAGAAATATAGTTGAGACTACATGAACATGGATACTTAATGCAAAATGTTGCTATTAATCATTGGGTGATACATATAAAACAAGAGGACTTGTCTGAAGATGAAGCTAAAGCTACAGTGGTCATGAAAATGTTTTTGCCGTTCCACATGTGCCAAACATTTAGAGTAAGGTTAGTTTCGATTTAGAGGTCTTAGAAATCATGAGAAGGATATTTCTTGGTTAAAAATCTTGATAAAACAAAGTAATGAGCAACTTAAAATTGGAAAGCATTTTGAAAGAGTAAATCAACCAACCGGTATTTCAAAGGTTTTATTCTTTACATGGTTGATGAACAATGTAATAAGATTACATTCTTTTTGTAATCAATTAATATGAGCTTTATCTTTGAAGAAAAAAAGCAGCTACCACAGCTGTATTCAACTACAAAATGGGTTAATCAATTGTAATGTTTCTTAACATCTGGTAGAAAAAAAAACTCATTTACGTAATCAATTATACAATTTTTGGAACAAGTTACATAAGGCCAAATTACATGAGTCAATTCATATGCCTTGCGAAATAACCAGTTACATAAATATGGTAATCCATTACATAAGGTGCAGATGTAAATGTGATTTAATCAATTACATTAGGCTATTATACATAAGCCGGTTCATTTGCCTTCTGAATTAATCGACTACATATTGTTGTAATACACAAGTCATGTCATTTAGCTTGTGAATTAATTGATTGCAATGAAAGCATAATCAATTGCATAAAGGTTAATGATTCACTTCTATAACTTATTACATCTACTGTGAAGTTTCACTTCTACAAAAGTCACAGATAATGATTCAATACTCTCATCTTATACATTCTGAATTGCTCAAGATTTATGTGTTAAAAGAGATTTTTCAAGATTAACCAAAGGAAACTTATCTTTTACAAAGAACTTGTCAAGAAGATATTTAATTAAGAATCCAGGTTTTGTCTTTCTTGCCTTTTACTTACAAAATTGTGTTGAGAATCTAGTGTTGATTCTAGAGTGTTCCAATTGAGGGGATTGTATTCTTGAGATATGTTTTCTCGAGGGGTGCCATTAGATAGGGTGTCTAAGTGGTTTTCTATAATCAGGATCTCCAAAGCGTGCTAACGGGTATTATTAATTTGATTGTAGAAGACTGGATTGGCTAGAGATTTTAATTTTTCATTACAGTGATGTGTACATTTTCACCTTCTGAACTCACAATAAAAATTAGTGTCTTTACCTCCTCATGTTATGACATAACCAATATTTTAAGAATTAGGAAACAAAAAAATGTGATTTTGGTAATACACAAATGTCAATTCCTTCGGTCACACAGTACCAAAATGTGGTTTTGGGAATAAATGACACGTTATGTTCAGCATATAAAGCAAAGTATCATTAAAGTACCTGAACTTTGACCAATAAACTCGGTAGCTTTGACTAATTCCCCAATATCTTCAAGTGCATTCAATATATCCCTGAATGCATTGAATTACACAATATTTATTTGAAACAAATTTGGCATAAAGTTCCCAATAACTGTGTAGAATATGATAATGAAATGACTCAAATTAATTTTACCTGACACTTTCTCTGTAATTGGAGAAGATAAATACCCTGGAGTTTTGCGGATCATTGGTTTCTGCAACCTCATCCAAAGATGTCATCAGCTTAGTAGTACAATGAAAGCTTATTAACCACATCCAAGTGCTTTCATTTTACACATAATGCATCCATTAAAGAGTGTAATGGAAGTTCATTAGAAAAACAAAAAATCAAACCGAGATTCAACCACAAGCTAATGGCTGCAAATTATACCAAAATGTTTACACCTGTTTTGGAGCAGTCCTTTCAGTCAAAGAAAGAACTCAAGATGAACCATTTTAGAAAAGGAAAAGAAGAAATCCCAAACAGAAACATATGTTCCCTACAGTAGAAGAAACTTAAAAGAATGGTCTAACATACACCAAAACATGTTAAGATAATAATCTTTTCTTATGATCCTTTCCAATATCCATACGTGCCCACCCCCCCTAAACAATAGCATTGATTGTTTATTATATATGATTGGTTAAAAGATAATTTTATCCCCTTGAAGTTTCAAAGAAAGGAACTATCAGATGGGAGGAATTTTTTAATTTTCAGTCTGAAAATTTATGGATCTAACATTTCTCATCTAGTGTTTACAGCCTGCTCCAAAACACCGAGCAAGTCTCTTTCTAATTCCTCTAGAATTTAAAACACCAAGAAACACTGAAAGTTTGTACATGACACCGTGAAAAAATGTTTACTCCAACCCTAAAACATATTTGCAAACATATTATTTCATATATTTCTTTTTTTACATGTGTCGTGTACCTTTGATAAGAAAATGAATGGGAGAAAATAATGAAATCATGTGAATTCTTTTCTCTTTTTTTTTTTTTTCTATAAAGGAGAATTGTAGAATAAAAATGTAATAATCATGGTTGAACATATACTGTAGTGCATGTTTAGAACTTCAAAAATATACTTGGCAAACATAACCTCCGGGTACAAAATAAAATAGAAATGCAATGGGTACAGAAATACAGCAAATCTGAGAACATATTAATAATTAGACATTTAAATCTTAAAATAATGTTAATCACACACTATGTTCATAGTTGCTGACTGAACCTGCTGTACAAACCCAGCACTTAGCCAGAGTCCGAGAAGACCCACCAGGAAGTTCATTCTTGTTGGAGGTGAGAGTTAGTTAGCTGAGGTGGAAAGTAGAGGGTGGGATCACATGGAAAAAGGACAATTTAATAAGCTGAGTAGAGAACAGGGGATCAGTTATGGGAAATCATAACTTGTTACGCATTTTGCCGGGCAGATAATATTTTCTGAGGAGCAGCGGCTCTGGTTTCTTTCAATGTGTATTTGTAATAGGCTAATAGCTTTGAGCTCTCTTCATTCAATAAAACTTATCTTCTTGAGAATTTTATTTTATGGTTTCCCTTCGTTCATACTGGCTGTACTCTATGATATGAACCCTCTAGAATTTTTAGACATCTATACTCTAAGTCTAGCTCCGCATGATAATATTTTAGTGTTAAACTAACTTTCATGGCATTACCCAAATCATAAAGGATAAATAGCATCCCAAATACACTGTTGAGATATCTCATAATATGAATATTTTAATTTTGAATATTTTCGAGTATCTTAGAAATTATCTCTTGAAATTAGTTCCAGTATTTCTTAATTTCCATATTTTCTGATTCGTTTATTTATTTCGTTAGGATTATAGCATGTAGGGGTGTGTGCTTTAGGTTTTATCATCACAATATCTTATCATTATCCAACACGATACACAAGTAAATATTCAAATTTTCTATTTTCTCTATTCTCTCCATAGAAGCTCTTCTAAAAAAGCAATATCTCAATCTAAAATAAGCATAATGAACATAATTTTAATAAAACTGTAGCTGTTAAACAAAATATTATCATTAAACTCCTGAAATCTTTATTGGAAAATTAAGCATTCAAAATTCCTAAGAAAATCACTATAAATTTATATTAAATTCCTTACTTCAATTAACTAAAGAGCACAGTTAATCTTCAGTTGCAACTTGATTTTCTTGGGTGCAATATGTTATGAGAACTAAGACCAAACTCATTTACTTATTACATCTTTCTATGGTTACATAAGCAGGCAGCAAGTACCAACACCTTTTGACAAACAGAATAATACTTACTGAAATGCTCCGCCAATACTTCTAGCATTTTGGACAATTTTGGACTCGATGCTCCATGAGACAAACTTTGCTGCATTAGTTGCCTTGCTTTCAGAATAACTTCATTTTTACTCATAAATTTTGCAAAATATCTGAAAGAAGTTATCCTTATAAAATTATTTTACAGAATTTTGATATATATATATTACAATTCATAAATATCGGCAATAACATAATAAAATATCCCTAGGAAGCCCTTAAATAAATTAAATATCAAAAGACAAGCATAACATGGTTACAGAAGTTCCTCAGATATTCTTCCCTCTGCTGTATCAACTTAGAACATGAAGCTAAATGACTTTACATGTAATAAACTTTGACTTTCAATTCAACTAAAGACAGCAAATATCAGTTACCTGTGATCACTGTCGTCCAAATCTAGTTCAATAATGTATACAAAGAATATTACAAATTAATGATCCAAATATGAAGAACTTACCATAAAAAGCATTGTATAAAACGTCTCTATTGCATCTAGAAATTAATTAACCATGTCATAGCTTTTATGCCACAACTATTGGCAATGGCAACTGACTAACATCCTCTGTTGTTTTAGTGTTTGGTTAAGCTGTGCTAAACTCTTAGCAACAAGTGGACCATATCAGCAATGCATGTTTAGTGATCAAATCAACACTCCCAAAAATGTCTCCAGAATTCAACTATGCCCTCAGATATTCTTCCCTCTGCTATTTTTTAAGATATTTTAGAATTTATATACTCATCCTTTTAATGCATCTCATTTACCACTAGTGTACTAATCTTAATCTTTAATTAAGCTCTTATTTTTCCTTAAGGGTAAAAACATTATATACGTAATAACGTAAAAAGAAAAACTAAGCATATCTTTTCAATTTGTTGACTAACATTGCTTATATATAAACTGTATATAGAAAGTATACCCTTGCTTCAATTTTCTCTCTAGCATTTCGTATGCTGGCCTTATTCCATGGCTTGAGAGTAACTTATGGATGTAATAAAGAGTGATGAGAACTCCAAAATACCCTTCAACATCTTCATAGTTGACATGAGAAAGATCTTGCCTAGCCTGTTGACGAAATTTTTCCCTAATTTCAAGTAATTGACAAGGACTCAACTGCCAAGCATTCAAAAGAAAATAATTAATGATTCGACTACATCATCAATCCTACGAAATTTTGGAAAAACAATGACAGACCAAAAGATAAGACAGCTAATAGCGAAAAGTTAATAAATCTTAAAAACAATAGTTACTAAACTATAAAAATTAATCATGCTTTGCAATGTTGTTTATGCAAAACATATAAATAATAACTAACAGAAGACCCTAGAATCTTATAGATGCAACTGTAAAAAGAGGGGGGAAAGAAAGGCCTGCCCGCAACCATGTCAACATTTATACAGATTTAATAAAGCTAAAGTACTCTGCTTGACTTAAAGTGAGCTATCTTGGATTTTATTAACCTCCAATTATTTCTCGAGGTCATTGAGACATTATCTTTTTGAATTTGTAACAATTAGAGAACTATTTGATTTTCGGACCCAACTTTATAGATATGCCGCTATTCAACTTATAGGATGTAAGTAGCACAACAAAGTTTCCTTAATTTGGCAATGGGTTTGTGTGACAAATTGAATGCATTTTAAGAACGAGAGATCACAAATTATTGTTACTCTTTTACTTTATCTATCTCAGGAATTATTTTCTTTAGTTCAATGTAGGCTTACAACAATTAATTGATTATATTCCTAGTTATATATTATATCATACAACTTTGAAAGAATTGATGAACATAATAAGCAAACTTTTAGATGATCTCTCAATAGATGATGAAAGAAAAACAAAGGGGGAAGGAGAGTGTGATCGTTGTGCTTCAATAAAAATCACTAGTAAAGTAAGTCGTGTATTTATTTGCTGACAGTAGACAGAGCTATCTGAAACTGAAAAAAAATGAAAGGAATAGAAGGCAAAGAGCCTTACAGTGCGGTAATCTCTGTTCTGAATGACACCAATATTTGAAAGCCTGGCAACTATAGGACGTATTACTTCCATAAACTTACTGTTTATTTCTACAGCTTCTGGGCCCATTGCAACCTGGTAAAATTGCAACAAAGATCTCTAGAAGATGCAGAAAACATGACTTAGATTTCAAATAGGCATGCATTGACTACCTGTATCAATTCTATCTTCCTATTGTGAACATATGAGATAACATCATGGTCATTTTCGCTGCGATATTCAAGTCTGGAGATATGCAGATTATCAACGACGGCCTGGACTGTCTGTTGCTTTGCTGAATATCAAACATAGAATTGGAACACAATATTTTTCAATGGTTAAAAACTGAAAAGAACACAAGATAATAAAGAACTTACATCCTGGTGTTGCAGTTAACGCTAATATTCTCAGCTGTAGCGGTACAGCCATTAACTACGAACCCGAAAAAAATAAAATAACAGGGATAAATTAATTATATGTACTAATAATGACAGAGCATATTAAATCAATAAAGTCCAGTAATAAACAAAAGCCTCAAAAATATGAAACCTCGCGAACTGCTTCACAATAGGCGTAATTTCCCATTGCTCTGTGAGCTTCGTCGATCACCAAACATACCAAGTACTTCGCCAAACATGTACCTGAAAACAAATAAATCATGCACAAAAACAAAGTAAAGCTAGAGAGACATATCAGATGAAGCAAAGCATGGTATATAACACATAAAAAATTCAGTATTAAGGGAAATTATGCAATTAAAATTATATTAAAAATCACCAGAATGAATATCCTTTTCCAACACTTGTGGAGTGACAAAGAATACTCGCTTTGTTTTCCAAAATTGAGCTCTTTTGGGAGGACTTAGCTGACCAGTCATATCAACTGTCCATTCCTGCAATTAAATTTACCCCAATTTTCGAAGTTTTCATCAAAGAAAAAGGTAAAATTGAAAAAAAAAAAAAAAAAAAAAGTTGTTACTTGAGGTATCCCCACAATATTGTGGCAAGCTTCAATCTGCTGCATGACAAGTGGCCGAGAAGGAGCAGCAAAGACTATTTTGCCTGTTATGAAAGGAATCATCAGATGATTTTCTCAGTTAAAAGGGTCTGTGGCATTGAAACTGTAAAACTTTTGTATACAGGATGCAAGGCAACACAAGAAATTACCTTGAGGAAACCATCTGAAGTAATTATACATGACAACTGCAGCAATAAGGGTTTTGCCAAGACCCGTTGGCAAGGCCACCAATGTGTTTGAGAAGAGTGCGGACTCGGTGATATGAAATTGATAGTCACGAAGAGGAACATTAACTGCAATGCAAAATGCAAAAGGTGATTGATTAAAATTTTGCAAGTATGAACGAAAGTGGAAGGAACATCAACAACTGTACCCGGATATATCCAGGTTTTGGCCGCCTCCTCGTCAATGTGGTGGACAAAGGTAGGGCTTTGGTAATCTTCTTGGAACTGCGGTGTTGGGGTTTCCTTCTTGGCATTGACAATAGACACGAACTTATCGAGAGTGGATTGCTGTTTTCCCTTTCCCTGTGTGTCACTACTCATCTGGCAAACGACGTCGATTTCTCTAGCAGCTGCTTCCCAATCAAATTCCTACAAATTGCAGACATTAATAACCGAGAGAATAAGACTTGTTTGGAGTTTGCAAATTGCAAGAAAGCTATTTTCCCATTTTCATACCTCTTCATCCATGATCTCATAAGGATTATTGGATGTCATTCGATGATTCAAATTTTTATTTCGATTCGCTTGCAAATGCTTATGCGTGAGCCCAGAGGAAGATCATAAGTGTGCGCTGCCGCTGCGCATAAACGCAAAAAAATATATTTTATTTATTTGAAAATCCTTCTCTCCAGTAGTGACACTCACACCAAAAAGAAAACAACTACAGATTGGCGCCAAGACCTTAATTGAAATGAAAATACGCTCCAACACCGAGGGCTATCAACAGGTCAACAATAAAGATCATTTGCTTTCTGCACTCCTGTTTTCCATTTCACCCCATATTTTGTTAAAAGACCATAAAACCCCTGTAACATGGTTTTAGGGTTTACACAAGATTTACAAAATGCTTAATCCAATCATTTATTCCAAAGTGATTCTTATAAAACATTCTATAAATGACATAGATTTCTAAATTGACGATCAGAAAAAATATGTCAAAGATAAATTATACTATTAGAATGTTATTAAAAGAAATTTGAGTTCCAACTTAAATCATTTGAAACATTGAAAATAGATATTTATCTCAAGACCTTGTACATAGTCATTGAGTGAGATGTAAATTAAATAGTTCTATGATTTGGTTCTGGTGATAAGAAAAATAAAGAAATAATAATAAGAGTTATCTTAATGGCACATTATTAAAAATGTTCTTAAAAATAAAAAGACTAAAAAAACTTTAATATCACATCAAATTTTATTTTAAAATCACACCACATAAAATTCTCCCTAATATCTCTTAATTAACAAAATGTATAGAAATGAGTTATATCAGGTTAGATTTTAACTCATGAATGAGAGGGTTTCAAACTCATCGTTCTTGCATTGTGGGTTTGAAATAGAGAAAAATAAATGAGTGTCTTTTTTTATTTAGTTGAAGGAATTGAGTGAGAATTGGAAAACATTAAGAATAAGAATTGAGTATGTAATCATGCCTTTTATGTCATGAAGAGGGAATAGGTTAGAGTTGAAAGACATGAAACCGATATCAATTTCAACAAAATAAAAAGATAATATATATATATATATATATATATAAAGAATAGGAAAGTACAATAGTAAAAGGAGAAGGAGGAAAAAAAATTGATATTTTCATTATGTAAAAACCATTTTGAAATGAATTGTAAAATGTGTTTCTAATGACAAATTTTATTATATGATGTCCCCACATATTATTTCATAAGAGTATTAAATTACTCATGGAACAACATTTTCAGTAGGAGTAACATTATTCAGACAGTGGAACCACGTTTGAAAAATAGTTAAAAAGAGTAATATAACACGTTTGCAAAATATTTAAAAAGAGTAATGTTTTGAAAAATATTTAAAAAAATAATATAACACGTTTGAAAAATATTTAAAAAGAGTAATATAATTGAGATGCATAACGATAACGAGATCTTCACCTTTGAAGAAAGACTTAAAATAATATTGAAGAAAGACTTAAAATAATATTAAAGAAAGACTTAAAATAATATTAAAGAAAGACTTAAAATAATAACATTAGAGGTCAAACTAGGAAATAAAGTTAACTATGACCTTTAGTAGATGTAGGTTCAATTTTAACAATAATACTTATCTTTGTTTGTTAAAGCACTATTATAACGACATTATACAATAATCATGTGGATTGTATTATAATGAAATTATATAATAATCATGTGGATTGTAGTTTGTGAAAAAAAATTTATAATAAAATAAATTAATGGTTGTTTATCATTTATTTTAAGATTATTTATTTATTATTATTTTTTAGTGTGTTTTAATTCATGTTCGTTATGATAGTATTGGTAGGATTAATTAGTATTGTTCGTTTTGAGACTTTAGTATATCAAAAGTGGATCTCAATTAATTAGGAGAAGAGTTTCTATGATTCCTAAAAGAAAGAAATGATTGTTATCTTCTTTGTGTATTTTGATTTTTTGTGTATAACATCGAGAGTGCGTAGGATGATGTCGAGGTGAGACTTCAATTGTGAGTTCTTAATGAGAACTTTAAGGTGAGACTTCAACTGTTGTTTCATTAGTGTGTTTAAGCTAACATTCTTCCTCAATTGGTTCCTTACTATTTGAATTGTTGGCATCGCGTTATGTCCAGAAGGATTTCTTGACTTGTGTTCAGGTTAACTTTTTGTCTTTTCTAACTTTTGGATTATCGTGCGCGTTTTAATGATCAATGCAATGATTTTTGGGTTCACACTTGACACAATGTGATAATATCTTCTTATCGTAAATTCAACTTGCTTTATCGAGGTTGTTTAATGAAAACCGTCAATTCATTTCATAACATTTGAAGCTCAATCTAGTGTTGTTTTTGAACTAATTCCAAATCGTTTGCTGCTCTTTATTGAATTTGCATAAGTTTAGTTTCGTTTTGTTGTTACAAATTTTTTATTTTCCTCATGATATTTTTGCTAACATTCATTGATGGCTAGTGTAGGTTGGTAAGAGTGTATGTAGGGATGACAATTAAACTCGTACCCGTGGGGACCGACCCGTCCCCGCCCCGAGTTTGACGGGAAAAACCTGAGTTGACCGAGGCGGGTCGGTTCGAGTTTTCCCGTTTTAAAAAGTCGGGCGAGGGCAGCGGCGTCGCAGGGATGAGTAATGCAATCCCCACCCCGACCCAGTCCCTGCCCCGACTTTATATTTAAATTTAAATTTTAAAATATTAATATTTTAAAACTATTTCATTTTCTTTTTCTATTACATATAAGATTATTTTTTTATATTTCACCAATTTTTATTTTTCTTCTACCAACTTTTTAATTTTTTTTATCTTTTTCAATCTTTTATATCAATTAATTTATTATATTATTCTCTCTTATCTTTCAGTTTTTACATTTCCTTAATCTCTCCCATCAATTTGTTTTTTTTTCAATCTTTTCAACCAATTTGATGAACACAAAGTTAATTTTTTCTTCTTCTTTATCTTTTTTTAAATATTTTACATAAATCTTAGTAGTAACTAATATGAGTTTATTTATAATTTATATTTATTATGTTTTATTATGTCATATTTTTTTATCTTATTATGCTTATTTATCATATATCAAATTTTATCTTAATAAAATAATTATATTTTAAAGGATTAAAAGGAATTAATAATTTAAACTTTTATTACTTCAAACTAATTAAATAAGAATTAACTTATTAAATATTTCCTTATAAACTATATATTTCATATTTTTAATAACAACTTAAAAATGAATTAACTTATATATATAATCAAATGTTTGAATAAGTATTATAATAATAATGTTATAAATATTCAAATATTTGAATACAATGTTATAATAATAATAATAATAATAATGTTATAAATATTAGCTATATATATATATATATATATATATATAAATAAATAATGATTAAATATTTCTTTTACATATATATTTTAATATAAATATAATAAATTAAAATATATATTTAATTAATAATAATTATAAATATTTATTTATATATAAAAATACATAGTAAATTTAATTTATTATAAATATAATTATCTTTTTAAAAATAATATAAATCGGGGACGGAGCGGGAACCCGAAACCCAGCGGGACGGGAATTTAATTTTTAACCTCGGCGGGGATTGGGGACGGAGATTGTTAAAAAAGTCGGGGACGGGGATCGGGGAGACAAAACTCACCCCCACCCCGCCCCGTCCCATTGTCATGCCTGTGTATGAGGTTAAACTAAAGAAATAGGTGAATCTGATTCTGAATTGTAACTTTCAGATGTTAGAAAGTAATTTTTGTTGGAAAGTATAAACCCACCTCCAAAAGACATTCCGACACTTTTAAATGAAAGAGTTGTTTATTTGAAAATAAGTGATAAGGTGATATTTACTTTTTGAATCTCTTTATACAGGAAACAAAAAATAATAATAATCTAAAAGATAATAATTTATATAAAATAATTACATAAATATAATGATTTTAATATTCATGTAAGTGTAATTATTATTTAATTACTATTTTTTCTAAATTGAATATTGTATTGAGTTAAATTAGGATACTATGACAAAAGCTTGGCTCCCACGTCCGTAAGTACTCTTTACACAGGTGAGTTCAAGATTGTCTATTTTGCATTATTTTTAGTTATAAGACAATAATATATATATATATATATATATATATATATATATATATATATATATATATATATATATATATATATATATATAAAAGTAGAAATGAGGTTTACATGCAAACACAAATAATGTTTTGTTGGTAGATTCAATGGGTGTGGGGTGTTTATCACTACTACAAAATATACTTTTAACGTCGCCATTTAACGTCGGTTAAAGCTGAGCCGACGTTAAATACACTTTCAACGTCGGTTGGTTAAAAAACGACGTTGAAAGTGGAATGTTGGACACATTCTACGTCGGTTCTTAGTCAACCGACGTAGAAAGCACTTTCCACGCTCGGTTCTAGATGAACCGACGTTGAATGTCTAAAGTCTTTTAATTTAGACATTCAACGTCGGTTCCCAGATAAACCGACGTTGAAAGTCTTTTAATTTAGACATTCAACGTCGGTTCCCGGATGAACCGACGTTGAATGTGTTTTTACACAAAAATTCTCTTAATTTCAAGAATTGTCACTAACAGGATTCAAACCCAAGTATTTTAGAGTTGAAAGTTGATACTCCAACCACTAAACTACTGTAATTTTCTCGATAATAACTTACAAATTAATTATATTTATATACAAATAAATATATATCCGTGTAAATATATATTTATTTATATATATTTTCTGGAAAGTGTTTTTATTTTTTTTCAGCCAAAAATTTACTTAAGTTCGAGAATTGTCACCGACAGATTCGAACCCAGTATTTTAGAGTTAAAAGTTGATACTCCAACCACTAAACTACTATAATTTTCTGATAATAACTTACAAATTAATTATATTTATATATAAATAAATATATATCCGTGTAAATATATATATTTTCTTGAAAGTGTTTTTATTTTTTTTCAGCCAAAAATTTA